CCTCCAGAGCCTGTGTGAGTTCACATCAAGTGTATTACACCCTGAGCTTTCAGAGGAGCTGGTGTAGGTACCAAACTGCAAGCTAAGGAATACTGCACTGAAGACAGAACCACTGTTAAAGTCATGCTGCTGCCTTTTAGTTCTTGCCCTTTTCAGAAGGCTACTGATGCTGCTGTTTTTTTCCTTTAAAGTAAAACAAACACAGATTTGATTTTTGTCTTTATTTAGATAGTTTTTTTTGCTGTAATTACTGCAGTTATTCTAAATCCTGAGTGCGGTGGTGGGTGTTTGAGGCCTTCTGTTGGTGCTGAGTGAGTGGTTTGAAATGTTGCAGCCGGAATTTATACTTTGTCATAGCAGAAAGCATAATTATTGTTATCTTACAGGTAGGTAGAAGTATAGTTAGGCATAAAGGCTTCACAGTGAGAGTTACAGTAGATACCAATGTTCTGGACCTAGCTGCAAAAATGGAGGGACGAGATCTTCCCAGACAGCTTTTGTCTGTCTTTGATCCAGAACTGTGCTTGATCCGCTGCCTTGGCCCTCCAACAGGCCATTGTGTGGGAGCTTTGCTGTTTGATTTCCTTCTAAGAAGCAGCAGCAACAAATGTCCTTATTTGTCGCTTTCTGCAGGTGGAAGAGGGATGGAAGTGGCAATAAGATCGCTCACCCAGTTACTGGCAAAAACATCTTGCAGTTCGTAGCTATCAAGAGGAGAGACTGTGGGGAGTGGGCCATCCCGGGGGTAAGAGCAAAGCTTTGGAAAAGGTGGACATCTCTCTGGCAAGGCCACAAGCAGATAACAGGCATACATGTGATATAATTGCTTTTTGGGGATGGCCTCATGATGCAGAGGGGAAGAGAAAGGTCCTATAAACAATTTATCTTTATCCTCCCAGGCATCAATTGATAGGCTTTCTGCTGTTCCTGCATTACAAGGCAGTACTTGTACTTAATTTTGATGGTGTTCTTTGCTTAATGCAGGTATAATCTTACCTGTTGTAGTTTTTGAAGGATGTGTCTGCTTGCTTTTTACAAATAAGTGTAGAATTTCTCACATAACCGGAGCATGATTTGTATGGGTGTAATGTCCTAAGCACCAGTAAAAGATTGATAGCATGGGAGGTCTTAGGCTCCTCAGTTTGTTTTTTCTCCACTGTCAGGGGATGGTGGACCCAGGGGAGAAGATCAGCGCTACTCTGAAGCGAGAATTTGGGGAAGAGGCCTTGAACTCCTTGCAGAAATCTCCTGAGGAAAAAGCAAGCTTGGAAAAGCAACTGCAGAGGCTGTTCAGCCAGGAGCACTTTGTGGTAAGCTGTGTCTTTTGAGATAGCCTCAGGGTAACTTGCAGCTAGTTAGATGAAAAAATGCATGCACTGTCATTAAGATAAGCTGTGATGCTCAGGGTTTTGTGATACAAGACAGGGAAGGGACAATTGCATACTCTGTAAGAGTGATTGCAGGTGATTTTTAATGGTGCCACCTTTTTTTTTTTTTGAACTTCTTGTGATTGTCCACTGAGGTAGGTGTACAAAGGATATGTGGATGACCCTCGTAACACCGACAACGCGTGGATGGAGACGGAGGCTGTGAACTATCACGATGAAACAGGTAGGCATTGCTGCTTGTGCTTTTTGCTGCTTTTTTAGTGTAGATGTTTTTGCATACGTGGGGCTGAGGTGAGACATGAAAGTGGAAGAGAATGCAAGTTGAGTTTAATTCTTAGATTGAAAGCAATGGGTGTGAGGGTCCCCCATCTTTTGTCATGTTCACTTGCAGCCAGTATTGGTTGTCATTCCCCTTGGACTTCTTTCAGTCCTGAATTAAGGAACATAAGGGATTTGCCTGAAAATAATTTATTTTTGTGTTACGTAGTTCCAAATCGCAGAATGTGCATTTGTTATATAGATTGAACACTAGGCCAGTCACCGTCCAGTCACTGTATTTAGCTTTAGTGGGTTTAATTTCCTATTTCAATGACTGAGTTGGATGGCTCTCGGGTTTCATTTCTTCACAGTTAGTACCAGTGCCTGCTTCAGGTGTATCGCCTCTGGCTGCTGGATGATCTTTACTGCGTTCTTGTCTTTGTTGTCTTATTTGCTGTCTCTTGACACTTTTTGTCTCTGTTACTCTGCCAGAGCAATTGTTGTACTTTTAATTCCTTCTATAATTTAATTGGAATGAGCATACATTGCTAGTTCTTGGATCGATCTGTTATCCTGAATGCTCATCTTTCCCCTATTGAGGTGAATCGGTCTGCTTTCTGTGGAGGTCAGACAGACAGAAGTCATACAGTGATATTTTCACTCTTGGGTAGTTAAGAGATAATAGTGGTGAAGCTTAATATGCTGCTGGTTTTTGATTTATTGGCCCCCAGAAAAAAATGAACATGGTGTTCCTTTGGTGTTTGCTTCCAATATACTTTTTTTTAATAAGCATTTTCTGGTTTGTTTTTTAACAAGTACTGGGACTTGCTCTGGAAATCTGACTTAGAAACTTAAGAGCAACTAGAAAGCCTTTCTGCATCCTTTCTGCTGGTTATGTTTTTTACTTCGGTGACTTTGATAAAATCGTAATTTGGGGAGCGGAGAGGGCAAGATTGCAGGCATATGTAAGTTTCAGAATTCAGTTCATATTTTGTTGGGTAGTACCTGAGAAAGTAAGCAATCAGATGTTAAACAATTAATTGACTCAGAGGGATTGGCTAGGCTTGTGCTGTTGTAATGATTTCTGGTAACTTGTCATGCCCCTGGTGTTAACCTAGGAGTGGCGATAAAGAGTTGTAGCTGTGCCACTCAAATTTCCGAAAAAAATGTTTAATACAAGTCTGGAAAAGTTTTCTAGCACAGACTCAGAGAGCTACTTGATTGGTTTCTCTCTGAGAAATAGTTGCAGGTTGCTGCCTTTGGGGGAGCCTTGTGGAAAGGAAGAACTGGTCAGGTGTGAGAAGAGAAAGTAGGAGAAAACAGCATGTCCTAACGCTTGTTTTGTGAACAGGTGAGACAATGGATAACTTGCCTCTGGAAGCAGGTGATGACGCTGGGATGGTGAAGTGGGTTGACATCAGTGAGAAGCTCAAGCTGTATGCCAACCATAGCTACTTCATTAAGCTGGTGACTGAGAAACGGGGAGCCCACTGGGGAGAGGATCCTGGTCCTGAGTGCCGTGACTGATGTGAATGAGGAACAGACTCCCACACGAGGGGAATACCAGCTGCCCAGCCTTGAAACTGAGATGATGTCCTTTTGAGTGCTGAAGTTCAGCTGGCAGAAACTCTTACCTGGATTAGCAAGGTTGCATTGCAAGTTACGTACATGTAATTGGGAATTTGTCTTTGACACTTGAGCTCTGTATTTTTGCACTGATTTCTTGTCAGGAGTATGGATCTTTCAGGCATGTGAGAGTTGTAGGATGATGACCTGAATTAACGACTAAGATGAATTAAAGAGCTATGAAAAAAAGCAAAGTTTCTGAGTGGTTTCTCCTTAGAAAAGTCACTGAATAGAAGTCTTATTTGAGATGAGTTTTCACCTTTACTTACTTTCTAGTTGACACTATGGTATTCACATGAGAATGTCCTAGTGTGTCTATCTAAAAATATCACTGTTGGAGGGTATACCTCAACTGTTTTTTTGGGCAAATCACATTCTAATGTTCTTCACGCTGCACGTGGCAGTACAGCTGTTGGGGTGACAGTGCCATACGCAGGATCATTGGGATGTGTGGCCTTGAGAGTAATCTTCCAAATGTTTTGGCTGTATTTAATGCTTTAGGTCATGCGTGTAACTTCTGGTCAAGGGGCACATGTGGTCCCTCCGAGGCATTTGTTGACAACAGGAAATGTACAGCATTGGTTGCCATTTTTTACTGTGCTTAATCAAGCTTAACTGTGTAATAGTGTGAGAGTATATTAGTTAACTTTCGGAGGGAAAAGTGAAGGTAAGAGCTTTTAGTTTTCCTGACAATCCTTGCCCTACTTACTCCTATACATTTCAGGTCATCCGCAGTGTTATAAGACAGCGTCAGTGCTTTCTGTTACTGTATAGACTTCCACAGACATCTTTTACAAAAAACACTATTATAAATTGTAGTTAAGATCTGGTGTTTGGTGTTTTCTTCAGCAGCAATGTCTGTAATAAACAAGCCCTTAAAAGCACAGAGTGCTGGGTAGTGTTTGGTAGGGCCAGATCAGGTAGTATTTGGTGTGTGTGTGTGTGTATATACATACACCAAATACAGGTAGTATTTGGTAGGGCCTCTCTCAGGTAGGACCTGAGAAAGCCTGTGAATCTCAGCATGGACAAAAGGCAAAGCCAGCCTCAGGAGTTCCCTTCCTTTCCTACTCATGCTCATTGCAAGCAGGGTCGCTGAAGTGACATTCATGTGTTTCTTTTCCCCAAGAAATAATTAAGAGACGAAGAGACCTTAGTCATTTGATGCTCAGCATTTATTCAGACTTAGGAAGTAAGTAGACAAAGTCTGAGAGCCATGCACTGCAGCACACACCAGCTTCAGTAGTGGGCGTGTGAAACAGGGACCCTGTTGTTGGTGGTCCTCTGTTTTCAGCACATTGCTGACAGAAGGTGTGAAGGAGAGGTGGGAAGTAGAAGATCATCTAGAAGCAGCAGCGTCCTGCAGGAGACAGCCATGGTTATCCAGGTAGGCACCTGCAGAGCAGTAGGAGAATTGCAGGTTAGAACCAAGAGCAGTTAATTGTTTTAACGTCTCAATGAATGCTTTATATGAACCCTTAGCCCCAAGAGGAGGCTGTTTCTGTGTTCACGGGAGGTAGCTGGGCAGCTCCTGACAGCTGGATATACGTCTGGCTAGAGTGTGGCAAGTCCAAGTAGCATGTTTCTTTCTTCTCTGTGAAGTGATTGAGATAACGCGCAGTGCTGAAGGAAATGAAAATCACTGAAAGTATCCTGCTGGATGAGATTTAAAAACTGCACAAGGGTGGTGTGTTATTTGTGGAAGGAAAAATTCTGTAATGATTTCCCTGTCCTTAGCAGTTTTCTATTCAAGCCAGTCTGGCAGGGGCACGGGGGCTTGGATATGTTTTTTGGTAGTCGTTTGTTCCCAAGAAAGATTTCCGGCTAGACCATTTTCAGCTGGAGTACCTGATGTTACACAGTACATTGTGCAGAGCACCACTGCTTTACGCCTGTTCCAGTATCTTCATATCTAGATCTCAGTTCTTGCTTGGGCCACAAAATTTCTTGCACAATTAAAATATTAACAGTGAGAACTGGGAAAATGTCATGATAGAGCAGATGTATTTTTGTACAGCAAGATAGGTTGCTTACCTCAGACTTGTCATGCGTAATAGCTCACAGCCCTGCCCCTTCTCAGGATGGGGCGAAATATGGGGCGAAAGGGCCGGAAGGGTCGTCTTGGCTTCTGTGAAAAGAAAGGCATTGTGTAAGTGTTTCCCAGTTCAGTGCCAAGCTTCTGGTTAAATCTGAATGTTAGAAGTGGCAAGAGTCAGTAAATCAGACACAGAAGACTTACCTCCTCCGAACTGTCCCCACTAGAGCTATCACTGTCGTGGTGATCCTGGAGAAGGACAAATTTTTGGTTAGAGCAAAGCATACTTCATCCTACATGTTACTTAAAAATAAATAAATAAATAAATGATTAACAAAACTGTCAGATTTTTTAATGAGTCCTGTTGGAAAGCAAAGATCTGCAGAGGAAACTGTTGTGTGATGAAGGAGTTAGGGGGCCCACTGATGGGCTGGGAGTGACCTTGCAATTTCTCTTTTGCTTTAAAGTTTGAGGAGGAGTCGATCTTAAGCCAGGAGTCTGGAATGGGAGTACAGTACATGTGTTCAGCCTTGCACCAGCCATTGGTATTTCTGAGGCTCTCCCATCGGTTACAAAACCTCGCAATTTCCAAGTGACAACGTGAAGATTGCCCGCATTGGCCGCCCGCTTGTTTCTTTGTTCAGTACTTACAGCATTGGCGACAGCAAGGACCATGCTCACGATGCAAGACAGCAGGAGGAGCTTCATTTTGAGCGAGACGCCTGTGGAGCAGATGGCACAGAGTTGCAGCAACACGGTTCCAGCAGAAGGGAAGGCGCGGGGAGCACACATGCAGGCTGGGTCGGCTGCAGCAGCTGGTGCAGGGCTGCTCCAGCTGGGCTTTGAGCATCTCCCACCCTCATCATGGCCTTTCCCTTCTGTTCCCTTCCCTCCCCTGCAGTTTGCAGCCATACCCAAGCAGATTTCTGTCCTGCAGGGCAGTGGGGTAAGAGCTCTCCCCGGTACTACCTTTGGGTTGCATGTTGAGCGGCTGGTCAGTGGGTCAGGAGAAGTCGGCTGGCTGCGGTGATAGCGCTGCCTGGACGGCCGGCGTCTATATATACGCTGCTGGGTAGCGTGGCACACATCAGGAAGCTGGAAGGTGTCATGTGTCATATCCTCATAAACCCCGCTGGCTGTTTAGTTTAATTACTTCTCACCTGATAAAGCAGCCAGATTTTGCAAATGACCTTTATATTATGATTTTTATATAATCCTCTGGGGATCGATGGATTTGGCAATGGATGCGTGTATTACAAAAGACATGACTGTTGTCTGTTTCACTCAGGATTTGTTACCAGACATGCTCTTTGCCTGCAATAGAGGTGGAGCAGTTTGTTCCAGAGTATGGGGATGAAGGAGCAGAAAGTAAGTGTTGTGGTTTTTAGTGGGTTTTCTTTATTGGTGTAATGTGTTCTTTTTCTTAAGTAATTTGCTTACTTCTTTGAAAGTCCCCATGTAGGGAAATCCCTGGCAGTGACTAAAAAACCCAGATAGGTACAAGTAGAAATGCACTTGAGATGCATGCAGTAAATGTGCAGAAATTCTAATATGTTTTCCTGTAGGACACATGCAAGGCCACAGAGGCAAAGGTGTAATCTGGGGTTCCTAGCACGCACGTTTTTTGGGAATGCAATCGGGTAAAGCTGGACAGTGCTCAACAAAATGAGAACTGTGACCCTGCATCTTTTGGCATGAACCTTGGAGCTAGAATCAGCAGCAGAGGTGGTGGTTTCCTGTGTTCCTTTCTTTCTGGTGTTTGCCATCAGGCCAAACAGGCAGCCTGAAAGTTAAACCTCATGTAAACATCTCTGGTATCAGGCAGTACAGCACAGGAAGCTGGAAAAGAAGATTCAGATTGCCAAGTCAGTAGAAAGTAAGCAGCCAACCTGTGTTGGGTAGCAACATCCTGGTGCCTCGTTGGTTGTAACCAACCATGATGGATAAATCTGTGCCATGGTAAGTGTGAACACGGAGTGTGGCTGGGAGGGTGCTCTGTGTGTGCATTCCTGTATCTCAAACTGGGTTGCCTTAAGCTGGAGGGGAATGACATTTCATTGCTGATACTTGCTTGTAGAGGGAGAAAATGCTTCTAATTTTAATTGACACTCTTTCAGACTAAATGGAAGCAATCGTGTCCACAGAGGATCACAATCTTTCTTTTACCTACTTCACCATACTGTAAAGACGTGAAGTGATAAATGTTAAGATATTTTGAAGTTAACTGCAGTGTTACTGTTATTGGTTGGTGCTATCTCTGGCATGTGAAATAGGTGGTCATTTATGGTCCTTATTCTTAATGGAGATTTTTATGATTTGTAGGTTAATGATGGACTGGTCAAGCTCCCCCCTCTGCAGAAGATGTGAGCTGAGCTGAGTATCTCATTGGTGTAGCACTCTGGGAGAGCAGCATCCCTCCATGTGTACACCAGCAGGTTCTCCTTTGTGCCCCGCAGTGGAAACATGGAAGCAGTGGCATCACGGAGACCTCTGGAGCAGGTCGGATGCTGGCTCCTTCACGTGCCGGGCACTTCAGATCTCCAAGGCTGTACTGGTCTTGGGGGGTAGTCGCCTTCCCTGCATAGCTTGGGTGGTTTAAGGGCCTTTCTTTCCCATTTGTCCTGATGAATTCTGGTTCACTGCATCTTTTCCTACCATTTGGCTGGAGCGCAGCACTGGTGGGTTAGCCTGCGGAGATCAGGACAGTCCCTTGTGCATTGTCCTGCCCTAAAATGGGCAATGGACTTGCCTGGATCACTCTAAGCAGGCTGACTCATGGCTGTAGAAAGAGCAAGTAAGCAATAGGCTGCGGCCAGGCAGAAGAAAAGGCTGTCAAAAGTTCCTCTTCCTCCGAGATGCCAAGGCCCAGAGAAAGGCTTTTTATCAAAAGGAATTAGCTCAGTGCGTGTGCCGTTGTACATCTAATCTGGGTTTATGTGTACAGGCTGCTGGCTGACGTCGCAGAAGGTGCAGTGGGTGACAGGTTGGGCTTCCAGGAGAAAATGTAAGGGCAGGGTTTTGTTGGGCAGCTGCCCTTACTTTATGAAAGATGTTCCTGTGTTGAGTATCCCGATGGCTTTATTTGTTGGAACATTGGCTGGAGTTACACTGGGACTGTTGTCCCTGGCTGGCGAAGGAGCAGGAGGCAGGTGGAGTTGTGGTCCTGAGCCGCCCCAAAAGCGTTCTGGACTGCCATTCCCTTTTGTTGGGAGGGTGCCGTGGTTCAGGTGGGGGGGGGTTGGGGTCTGCCTTTGTAGGAAGAGTATTTGGGGTCTCCTGTGTAGAGCAGAGGACACTAGGGGTATCTGTTCTTTTTGAAGTGTTTGGCTTGACATCACAAGTCTACTGGGATTCACAGAATCACAGAATTTCTAGGTTGGAAGAGACCTCAAGATCATCGAGTCCAACCTCTGACCTAACGCTAACAGTCCCCACTAAACCATATCCCTAAGCTCTACATCTAAACGTCTTTTGAAGACTTCCAGGGATGGTGACTCCACCACCTCCCTGGGCAGCCTGTTCCAGTGCCTAACAACCCTTTCAGTAAAGAAATTCTTCCTAACATCTAACCTAAAACTCCCCTGGCGCAACTTTAGCCCATTCCCCCTCGTCCTGTCACCAGGCACGTGGGAGAACAGGCCAACCCCCACCTCACTACAGCCTCCTTTAAGGTATCTGTAGAGAGCGATAAGGTCGCCCCTGAGCCTCCTCTTCTCCAGGCTGAACAAGCCCAGCTCCTTCAGCCACTCCTCGTAGGACTTGTTCTCCAGGCCCCTCACCAGCTTCGTCGCCCTTCTTTGGACCCGCTCAAGCACCTCGATGTCCTTCTTGTAGCAAGGGGCCCAAAACTGAACACAGTACTCGAGGTGCGGCCTCACCAGAGCCGAGTACAGGGGGACGATCACCTCCCTAGCCCTGCTGGTCACACTGTTTCTGATACAAGCCAGGATGCCGTTGGCCTTCTTGGCCACCTGAGCACACTGCTGGCTCATATTCAGCCGACTGTCCACCATCACTCCCAGGTCCTTCTCTGCCTGGCAGCTCTCCAACCACTCATCTCCCAGCCTGTAGCTCTGCTTGGGGTTATTGCGCCCCAGGTGCAGGACCCGGCACTTGGCCTTGTTGAACTTCATGCAGTTGACCTCTGCCCATCGGTGCAGCCTATCCAGATCCTCCTGCAGAGCCTTCCTACCCTCGAGCAGATCGACACACGCACCTAACTTGGTGTCATCTGCAAACTAAAACTAGGGAGTCCATATATCAAAAGAGATTTCTGTCCTTGCTTTTCCATGCCTAAATTGTGCTTGTTTTCAGGCAAACAAGAGCTGGCAGGTGGTGAAAGGAGTAGGTGGCAGTTCTTTCTGTGGGAAAATGGTGGCAGTAGGTAATGCCTCTGTGGAAGAGAGGAAGCCACTGGAGGAGAAGTTGCAGCTGAGGTACCTCCTGCATGTTGCGGACCTATCACTAATTTGTCTTTGTATACACACCCCTGCTTGCTGTGGTCCTTTAAGTTGTTTGTTACACAGTTGCTCAGCTGGAATTCGGTGTGTGACACACTTACTGCACTGTTACTGTTTTTTTCCAAGGGACAGGTGAATAAATTGCTGAAAAGCCTATAATGTTCGTGCATTAGGAATTAGAATTTAAGGATTGCCAAATTCTGATAATTCTGATCTATCCTGGAGTTTCTTTTCCAGCCTTAAATTTAATATGGATTTTCCACTGAACCTTTACCTTGAGCTTTTCTTTGACAAAAGTCTTAAAAACGAACAAACCACAGAACAACCAAAAAAAATATCTAGATAGACATTATCTTTATTTGACACTTCTATGCAGAATGTTAAACTGACAGTAACAGGAGAAGAAATAAATGCTATGTCAAGGTAGGTTTCAGTGTGTAAGATCCACATCCTATAGTTCTACTGAAGAAGAGCTTTGTCAACAACTCTGCTCTTGGGTTAGTTCTACTTCTTGCTTCAGAGAGGCCATGGGTACATGTGGAGGAAAACACTTCTGTTCAGCAGTGAGCCACTTGGAGTTCTTCAATTTTTTTGTTAGTGAATTTATACCAGTTATGCACTTGTGTTATATGAGAATACCTCAGCCTACAAGAACCTTATGACAAGTGTGTTCTGAAAACTATGCAGCTATTAATTACAGTAATAAATGGGCTTCATATATTTGACCAGTTGTAGTGCAGCACTGGGATACTGGCTCAGAACAGGCTCATCCAGGCTCAGAACAAGAGATTTTCATTTATGTCTTCTGCAACATAGAAGAAAATATTAATAACAGTTGAATACTTGATGCCAAAGTATTGTTTTTATGTAGTGTTGTTATTAAGAAATTGACACAGGAAAATTTAATCGAGCTTAGGTATGGGAACATTATTGGCACTAAAAAATATGGTTGCTGTTATTTTCAGGAGCCATTCATTTCGAGCCTTTTTGGTAGGTGCTTCATTGTTCGTCGTGTTAGGTTTTAAGCTGCTTGTGAGTTGGGAATCCCTTATGCCCTTACTGTCACTCTTTACTAAAGGATGAACCCTAAAACCTTCTCTGGACAAGCGATCATTAGCAGCAGTACATGAATATTTTAACTCATAGCTTATTTCCACGTGTGGTTTGTTACTCATAAAGTGTCGTCAGAAGAGCTGGAAAAGTTGTGTACAGAGTATAAACTCAGTGAATATCTGACTTCTGTGAATCAGCCTCTGGTTGAGTTTAGGGAGTAGCTGGTAGGATTTTGAAAAAAAGTTTTCAGTCTGTGTTCCTAGCTCAGCTTCTATCATGCATCTGTTCTAGGATTAACCTGTACTGCTGCCACCCTTGTTTAAAAACTGGTTGCATTGCTTAGCTGCCACTCAAGGCTAGAATGTGGATTTCTAAAGAGTGCCCTAGATGGAATGTCATCATGTTAATGTAACATCAGTCACAGCAGCTTCTGTTCAGCTGGTGCCTAATTTTGGAGACATCACAAGCACAGTAGTGCCTAGCCTTTTAGATGTCTCTGGATTGACCTGAGCCAAACATATGCCTAGCACATGTAGGATTGAAAAAATCCCTCTGCTGAAGCCTCAGGATACACCAAATCTGGTGGGCAGCCTCAGCATGTGTCACATTAGGCAGTGGTTAGGTTAAATGCTCTGCCTGGCCTACTGCTGCAGTGTGACGATGGTGATTGTGTGGCATGTCGTCAGGTACAGGTGAGTATAGTTAACTGCAGGTGTCTCAGTTACTTTCACTACTTAGCCTGAGATTCTTCAAGTGCACCTTCAGTCTCAGTATGCTCTGACCAATGATTTACATCACAAGTTTGCTTAGCCTTGCTTTTGGCACTAAAGGATGAAAAATCAATACTTCAGGAGTGGTGGAGACAGGACATACAGGGTCAGGCACCACAGAGAGGAGCGATTTCCTATTTATTACAAACTACCTCCCAAATTATTCCTGGTGAAAAACATGACTTTTTCCTGGTTGTGTAAAGCATTTCAGAACCTTGCATCTTTCACTGTCTTGTCATTACTATTCCTGTTGCTGTTGTGCACACTAGTCATAGCTTCTGTCTAGAATTTTTCTTGTACTTTATGGCCTGAGGCTTAGCGAAGCATTAATGAGAACACTTTGTCCTGCACATCTTCCTGGTCTTTGAGACTTACCTTCCTTAATCCCAAAACAGTGGCACCACTCCTTCAAACCAATGAGTTTGTCTTGGTCTTGGTCACACTCCTGGAAGAAACGGGTGATGCAGTGTTCCATGGGAACGAGGGAGGCTCGCAAGGGAGCGAGCTCTGAGTGCGTCAGTGATCTGAAAGAGCAGATATGTAGAGGTATATTTCAGTGATAAATCACCAGGATTATCAAAGATGCTCGGTGTGGCTAGAAGATGGCAGCAGTGGCTTTGACAGAGAAGCTCTGGTGCTTCTGTAGTGACTCTGTCCTGGGACCTTAGGGTGATAATTATACCTGATAATCTAACATAAGCTTTAACTGCTCTTCTTTAAAATCTTTTCGCTAGAGCAAGCATCATTGTCCTGTGTTTACAGTTCATCAGTGGTGTCATTTTGCTGTTGATCTTAAGGAGAAGTTTGCAAAGGTGCTTAGCTGTTTTCTCAGATGCTAGGAGTGATCAACATGAGGTATTAAGGGCCTGCACCCTCGAGTCGTTGGACACGGATCCAACACTGAGCCTTCTGATGGAGGGCCTAAAAGCTGAGTCTCGTTTTCAGAGGTAAACTGGGGCTTTCTCTGAATTGTGACATTAGTGCTGTCTTAATGCACCTGTTCCTTAAACTGAGAGCTTGTCAGTATCGGTTTAATAAATGGTACCTCACTAGTGAATTATTGCTGACAGGCATCTGCCCATTGTATTTAGCCTGTTTGTCCTAGCTTCTGTGGCCGCTGGATCTCATGAACTGCATTCTCCTCCATGACCAGGCCATGAGCAGCAATTAAGAAGCTGTAGAGTTAGTTGTAACATGATTATGAAAAGCAAGAAGATAGCAGGTTCTGGCTCAAGACATTGCTCCAGCATAGCAGTGAAACATCCTGTGTTTCAGTTGAGTTCTGACCGGCTTGTATCTGCTGAGGGACTGGTCCTGTATGTCAGAGGATGCTTGATGTGCTATAGCAAGGTAAAACAGCCTTAGCTTGACCTGCAAATCAGAACTTAACACAAAGAATTTTTACCTGTCAGCTGGATGCTGATCAAGCTGATAAAACTGCCAGTGCACAGGATACACGTACATGTGATAGTTTTTCTCAAAGTCATGCAGGAGGAGCTCAGCTGAGTGGTCACCAGCCATGAGACGCTTTTCATTCTGGTAGATCTTTTTGACCTGTAGACAACAGAGAAATCTATTTTTGTTTAGGGGGGGAAGATTGGCCTGAAGAGAGCTTTCCAGTAAGGAGATGATTTAAGAAGTGAATCTTGATAAAACACTACAGGAAAGGGGGTTTAGTGTTTGTGGCTGTATGCTGTACAGAAAGTTTACCTCACGTTTGCCGAGTGATTGGTGGTGACTGTGTGAGCTTCAGCAGTAACTGAAGAGGAAATCAAACCCCTACAATGTAGTTACCTGGCCCAGCTAAACAGGGCAGTAGCCTCAGGATATGAGACACGAGCCACTGTTCTGGGGTAAGCAACTCAGCTTTGGCATGGAATAAGCCATATCAGATACCAGGTAATTCATACCATTTAGTATGAGATGTTCCTGGTCAGCCACGGGGCCTCTCGGTGTTTATAGGAGTAGTCTTTGGTACTCCTCAAGAATATTTTGTATAAGCCTGCTGTCACCTGCTGTTTGCATCTTTGATTCCAGAGTTAGAGCAGCCCAGGGTTTTGTTCAACTTTAACTATTGGTCTGCAGATCAGCTCTTAGGCAGTTATGACATCGGTATCGTCAGAAACTGCTTACTGTCACCAATTCATCTGATGTAAATCCTTTGTCTTCCCCCGTTTAAGAACAAAAATTCTCAGTGGCAGTAAGTGCTAACTATGTTTTAAGCCAATGTAGTGTGATTCTGCTTTAGGTCTACTGGGTGGTAGAAAGTTGGTTTTCACTTGGCAACTGAGTATCACTCACTTGGACCAGATGACCTCAAGATGTCCCTTCAAACCTCAGCCATTCTGTGATTCTGCGCATGGCTTTTGGGGGCTGCTTCGTCATCCTCTAACAGTGTAACTGCATGGTCCTATCTGAAAATGGGTTGCTTACCTTATGCCTTTGCTTTTCGGTTAGGAGTCCAGTTGTATCCTGATCACGTTCATAATACTGCATGAGGATGTTTTTGAGCCAGTCTCTCATACGGAGGGGGAACTGATCTACTTCGTAATCGGTACAGTTAGGTATGTCTGTGCCAGACAATAAAGTTTTTGTTAATGGATCACTTGTTAACTCCTCGTTCAAGCATTTCTGAGCCAAGTTAGACCTGATTCTCACTAGCAAACTTCCAGTTCATCTTAAAATTGTTGTAGTTAATACATAAAACTGGGAATGCAACTAATGGGTTCAATAATAAATGTATAATTCATTGATTGGCGTGCATATTTTACCAGTTGCACAAGCCACAAGCTTTACATACCTGTGCACCTTAAAGGCAGAATTGTGCAGTGAAGCTATGATCAATCTATTTGCTTGTATGAAAGCCGAGTTTCTAGGAGCAAAGGAATTTCTTTTTCTGGGGTAAATGGCAACTGAAGAAGAGCTTAGAAATCAATTAGAGCCTCTTGATCGTGACTCCTGTATTTAGGTGACTTTGTTTTTTACCTTGATATTTTCATCTATTAAGTTGATTTATGTACTGTGGTGTTTTTTTTTTGTTGTTTGTTTGTTTGTTTGTTTTTTGAGAGTAAAGACATGAAAAATCTTCAGATGGTAAAGAAATACCACTGGGGTTATGCTGGTTGTAAGCACAGGAGGGATGTATTTGGGATTTGGCCACTTAATAACCTTAACTGTAGGAAAAGTGAGTTGTTTGACATGGTTAGAATTGGAAAGGCAGTTTTACTTATGAGTTAATTGATGGAGAAGGGGGGGAGCACAGGAAGAAAGCAAATCACTTATGGTTAGCTGGTGATGCTAAGGCTTGTTTATATCTAAGTTAATTCTATATGGCAAAGCAAGTCTTACATTTGCAGGAGCCCATATAGTCTAGGTGCAGCTGGCGTCCCATTTTTGTTCCTTCAAGTTGACATTTGGTACCAAAGAGTTGGCATGTGCCGTCATAAGTCTTATTATCTGTGCCACAAACCTAAAGGAGTGAAAAACAAACACACCCCTGCCATGTTCTGAAAAATGACCTGGTCAGTAAAGGAGGCATTACAATAATGAACTGATTGTTGCAATATGCTGTGGCAGTTGTGAATGCCCCACAGAGACTGGATGTGATCAGAAGTACTGAAAATTTTGGTTATAATATGCCTACATAGAGATTAGGTGACTGTACTCAAGCACCCTGTTTCAAGACACTTGAATTTATTTTCATGTGGTAGTAATACAGTGGTTGAGATGCTGCTGGACTATGGCACTAGCATTTGCTATATGCTCGGAAACCTTAAATGGATGATGACTACTTCTAATGGCAGGAAAAAGCCATGATCCCTGAGAGAAGACTAATGGCAGGAAATCACAGTAAGTACTTTCTAGCTACATATGTTAATACTGTTCTCAAGTAAATGCCGGTACTCTGTACTTACATTGACAGTTACTGAAAGTGACCCAAACCTACTAGCATGATTTTTAGGGTAGAATTATTTGAAATAATAGCAGGGGAATGTGGTATCCTGTAAGTGTTGTAGCTGGATTTCCCACATGCTGTGCACTGAATGTAATACTTACACGCTCATAATCTTTGGTGGAAGGGCAAGCAGCAGGATCTTGGCAAATACAGCCGGGTTTCCCTTGTCTGTCTGCCTGGCAGACTTTTCCTCTTTTGCAGTGGAAGTTCCTGCATGGGTCTAGTGGTAAAATCAAGAGGGAGGGAATGTTAGAACAGGATGAAACCAAGTGTTTCTGTCAAGTACTGCTTACAGTTGAAGCAAAATAGAGCCAAACACTCACCAAGGAGTCAAGTGCTTTTTGTAAGTTTCTGAAAACACAGCTGGATCTTTCACTGAATAATACAGCCAAATTTTAAATGTGTTATTTTGAGGGATTCATGGTGCTACCAGGCTTGAGTTGGATGGGGAAATGTTTCTTAGAAAAAGCTTTCTCCTGTAAGGTCTGACGTTCACTTCCAGCTTTCTTTGAAACTTATCCCATGCATCCTTGCTGCATCTGAGATGCTTGACCCATTCCTAGTTTAATTCAGGCTAGAAATTTTAAACTGAGGAGTTTCAGTGGAAAATGTTTCCCATTCTGCAATGCTGACACAAAAATATGTACACTATCTAAATGTTTTTGAGAAACAAATGAGTGAATCCAAGGGTGTGCAAAAGGGATTGTTCTCGGAACATATCTGTGGTGCAGGATGATGCACCAGCGCAGGTCAGTCATGTGAAATGGCTTGCTGCTGAAGGCAGAAAAGAACTGCAGACCAGCAAATTCCCCAGCCTAAGAGAGTTATGGTGATGTGTGGGCTTTTGCATGTGGTTTACTCACCCGGAAAAGCCTCCCCAGTGCTGTTGCTTGCACTTCTCGCACCGTATGAACTGCCTGTGGTCTTAACCTGTACAGTCACAGAGAGAAGCAGAAGCTGTGGTAAATCTTGGAAGGAAAAAATACTGTAGGAATTCTTTTTTTTTCAGATACAAATATAGACCTGACTCAGTTTGCTCTATTTGCTACAGAAAGGGGTTGCTGTGCAAGATGTGTGGCAGTTATATGAGGCCTAGTATTAGTGTGCTCTCTTTTCTCTCTTTTCTGGGGAAAAAGTAGGGGGTGGAGAGAAACTAGGAGTCCAGGAAGACATGGGCTCCTTGTAGTTTCACCCTGACTGACACAGAGCAGTGGTTTGCCTTGAGGCTTGGCAGAACTGGTGTTTTAGTCCTTACTTGGGTCGGTGGTCCCAACGGGTCAGTGAGCATAGACACTTCTAACAGTGTAGATGTTGAACTAACAGATGGAGCAAACAGTCACGACTTTATTTTTGATGGACTTCTCCTGCTTATCTAGTGGCTGACCCTGATGTGGGAGGTCAGGGTACAATATTCGCTTTTGTCTGAAGGGACAAAGTGCATATCCTTCATCCTGTGCAAAAGTCTGCTAGCCACTGGGGTGGTCATGCAGGGGATCCCGTCCCTTCCCTTGAAAAATGTTCAGTTTTGTAGGAAAGGTATGCATGAAAGTGGGAGAGGGGAGTGAACAGACTTTGGTACTTGGGTTGAGACTTGGTTCCAAGTGTTGTTATAGAAGTGTCGGTGTTTATAAGTACATCTCATTACATGGTCCATTGGGACTGGAGCTATTACGTGAGCTGTGTTTGCTTCCTTTCTGGACAATTTATTTCAATGTTGTACATGAAGTGACGCATAACAAACTAGGTGAACAATGTGTAAAAGGAGATCAGACTTCTCCAAAACATTAAGTTTGGTAGACGCATTTTTTCTCCAAAATGTCAAATGTTAATTGCAAGGGGCATATGGGAGCACATAAAGGACCTCTTAATCACAAGGAGCTTAAATATGGGACTGATTTTTTTCCCTCTCTACTCTTCCAGTTATATTTTAAAGAAAACTTACCTCATCTACTGGTTCCATTGAATACACACTCTGAACAGAGCCGCTTGTTTGCAGTTGTTGGTTGATGTCAGAATTAGGCACCTCATAGTGGTAGTTAGCATCTTCAGACTGAGTAAGGTCTTTAATTTTGATACCTTGGTGATCCCATCTCTCTCTATGAGCTGCACTGTCATCTCCAGTGGTTTCTTCTTCTTCAGGCTCATTACTGGTGCTGTCTTGGTCATTTCTCTGGATTCTTTCCTCTTCCTCATAGGCTGCTTCTTTCCAGGCATTGCTGAGATCTTCCTCACCATCATTACCACTATCGATATCATCCTTATCAACGTTACCACCCTCCTTACCCTGTCTTTTCATCACCATGCCATGATCGCTCTGATGGTTTACTTGAAAACTATCTTTGTTTTCTTGGCTTTGCCATTTTTCATCCTCATTATGACTTCTTTTTGAGAGGGGGATTTTTTCTTCCTTATAGGGCTTTTCCTGACTTTCGCCTTCTTCCTCTGTGCTGAATTTCTCACCGTGTCTCTTGGTTATCTGGATTTGCTGACTGGAATCTCTCAGTATTTCATCAGACTGCCTGCTGTTTTCTTTCTGCTGTCTCCTGTATTGGTTTCCGTGACTTGTCCGGTGGGCTTTGTGCTTCATATCCATGTAATCAGTCACTTCCCCCCATTCCTCATCCTCTTCTTCCACATTTTCCTCTTCATCGCTTTCACTGGTGTTTTCAGATAGGCCAACTGTATTTTTATTATATTTCCACGCATCATGCTCATGATCGGGATTGAGAGCATCCACTGGATTTTCTCCAGCACCCAGTGCTTGGTTGGCTGTGTTGCTGTGTTTCTCATGCCTCCTGAGCTGGTAGTGGTCAGAGCTGGACTGCTCTCTGCCACTGCTGCCAGAATCACTCTCCTGGCTATCAGAAGTCAAGCCTGGTTTACCCTGCAGGGAAAGGAAGTTAATGCTCTTCAGACTGGATTTCATCTGATGCTCATGACCACTTTGTCCATGTCTTCTAGCTGTCCAGGGCTTCTCCCTGTGCTCAGCATCTGCTACTGGTACCTTTGCTTTTATGTTTCTGTGGCTGGGCTGCAAATCACCCTCATTTGCAGGCCTTGTCTTCCCTTCCTCTTGGGCTTCAGAATGAATAGGCTTAGTCTGAAGGGAAAAAAAAAAGACATTTAACAAGTAGATTTATTAATCTTAGGGCTTTGTTTTGAAGTAGGTGCAATGGCATATACATCAGAGAAACATGACACCGCTATGTTCTTTGTAAGTGACTTGTTAAAAAGTTAGGTCAAATGATGAAATTGACACCTGATATCCTTTCTGCTTCTCAGTTAGTTGGCTTCAGTCCCCTCTTTCTGCATGGCTAGAGTTTAAGTCGTCCATGCAACTCCACCTAAGCTTTGAGGGGAGCTGAGAGGCTTTTATTGTGTGCAGTGACGTCAACAGCAAAACCAGTAACTTGAGGGCAAGGTACAAATCCTCAAGGAGAAAGCAAGTTCTAAAGTGACTGCTCCCTATTGCTGCAGGGATTCCCTTTCTGCTGTTAAACAGCATCACAACTACTGCAGGTTGAGAGCAGGAACTTCTGATGTATTTCTGAACACATATGGGTGTTGGGTGTTGCTTTTACTAAAGTACAGCACTGAAACTGGTTTTCCTCAAAGCTTTCGGGAGTCATTTATGAAAATAGAAGTTAATTCTAAGTGTCCAAGTTGATGGAAAAGCATTTCCTTTAGTGTAGGAAGAATCTTGAATTCTTGGAAACAAATGCTCCACTAGCAAATACTTAGACAAATAATTTAAAACAAATACTGTAGGATTGGATGTATTTATTTGTCTCATGGTAGATAAGCTATATCCTGTTTCTGAATGTCAAGATGGTATCTAAAAATTGTTTCTTTTGTCTAGTGTACTTAGTGATGCAGGAGAAGTGCTAGGCAAAATGTTCACCTTATGTCTTCCAATTCTTAACTGTTTCAGGAGAAGAACGCATGTTGACTGAAATCTAATAAGGTCAGTGGTAACTTAGTCCAGATGAAACGCATTTTTCTTGAAGATGTTATAAAAAGTCATTATGTATTATAAAAAATCAAACCAAACTCAATTTCATGAGTAGTTTGTTTTTTCTATGTTTTGGGACACTGTGGCCTAAAACATATTATGCCTTTATCTTGAACCAAAACCAATCTTCTGCAAAGGGCTTGGAATTCTATAGAGTTAACAAAAATAAGGTCAAGCCTTCATTAAAATCCTTTGCTTTGGGTGCCCCTGTTTGATGAAATAGTCTTTTTTTTGAGGAAGATATTTTGTCTCCTGTCTCAATAGGAAGCTTTTATGTGCCACAGCTTCAATTTGTTTGTGCCTGGATGTGGTTTTCAACTGTCTTTTTTTTTTTAAATAACATTTATTTTTATTTTAAAGTAAACCTTTGTGAGCCTTTTGCTTGTAAAGATACTGGGGTTCCTTAATATGATGATCCACGTTTTGGTCAATGTAGCTGTAGTCACCTCCCCTTAGGGACAACTGGCCTTGGAGAAATGCTGTGTATTGATGCGGAACTGATGGCTTATCTGTCTGGTATCACTGTGTTTTCTTTTCGTGCAGGTGTCTGCTTCTGGGATATAGCTGTAGGCTGCCAACTGTTCCAGTTCTGCTGAAAACTTGAATAGAAACAGATACTTGCTTGGTTTTCACAACACAGGGCACTGTCTGGAGTGACATAGAATGCATGTGGAAAGCTGCACAGAGCTGGATGTAATTATTTGAAAATGTTAACAGGGGAGAAGGGACTTTGTATGTTGGTTCTGAATTTAGTTTTTACAAAACTTAATTGGATTGGAGCCCATGTCCATTTTGTCTGAGTCACAGATGCTCACCAGAACAGTGCACTACAGAGCAATTTTCATTTGGCTTGACCATGAATGAAAAACTGGGAGCTCTGTCCTTAGCCTGCACGCATGGCTTGACACTGCTGAAGTCATCGTTCTCACTACCATCAGAGCTGCCTATCTGGCTTCTCAGCCACAGTACGGTTTTCCAAGCTGACTCTTTCTAGTGCTCTGTATAGTGAATAAGAAAAGCTATTGTGGCTAAAATTTTTACGTTTGAGACTTTGCATGTGACGACTTGACATGATAATTTGAGGATTGCATCTTATTCCTTCAACAGAGCGGTGAGGATCACAGGTTGGTTTGTTGGTGGAGCTTATTGCCTCTATGAAAATGAGTGCAATGTTTATAAGGGAATACATTTATATAAGTCAAACTTCTGTTTTGAGCTTTAGATTTTGTCCTGTTGCGTTGGTAGCTATGTGATATGCAAGGCATGATATGCTCTGTAATAATCTGGGGATGGGGATGGGGGTGTTAGGGTATGTATGTGGTAATGGCTTTTTATAGTTGATATCAAAAATATACATTGCCTCTTAATGCTTTAAGAACATCAGTGCCTTTTCTGCAGCTTTCTGCCAAGCCTCCAAGTTGGTGGTTTAAGGGATATGTCTAGAAGAGGCAATTATTAAAAATCTGTATGTAAATTATTTTGTATAACTACGTGGATTTTAGAGAGTATTCACAGGAAGGGAAAGTTCAAGTGAGTGGCAATAATTGTGTGGTGAGCACTTACTGGAATAGCCGAAGCTGATCCTAGCAGGCAAATCAAGAGCATCAGAGTCTTCATGGTTTTCATCTCTTGAACAGGCCAGCAGTTAGTGGTATGGTGGTAGGGTTTGAAGGTTTCCTTTCTGCAAGTAACATCAAAAGAAACCAAGTTAGGTTGTGGATATCATGGTTTAGAAATGATGGATGGAAGCAATGTGGTGGCTGCCGTATGCTACAGATCAGTCCAAAGCCCTGTAACATTTGGATGCTGTGCCCACGTGTATGTGAATTCAGGCGTTAGACCACCTTATTCAGGGTGTGCTTTGATCCTGGTTCTGTTACTGAGCTTAGGTTGCATGCTGTACCCACAAACTCTGGTGGTCTCACTGAAAGGCAGAGTTTTAAGTTCTGTCCTGTAAAGCTTTATCCATTCTCCCGGGATAGTACTTGGAAAAGATGTTCTTCTTCATGCAATTTTGGGACACTGCCTGAATGGCATCCCTACAGCCAGGGGCTGCAGTAGTGGGAAGAATTGGGTGGTGAAGCTCTATTCCAGCAGGTTTCAAAGCTAGAAGCTCTGCGTAGACTGCTCAGTGCACTGCTTGAGCCCTGCTTGGGGAGCACCAAACCCAGCTCTGCTACATACCAGTGTGAGACTGGCAGCTGAAAGAATATGGGATGCAACTGGAGTTCTGCATGTGCCAACCTTCTAAAGTGAGTGAGAACTTATTTCTACTAAAGTGAGTGGCAACTTATTTTTACCTTGCAGGTATCGCTAGTATATTCTCTCACCTATGCAGTGCACATGCACTGGAAGTTCCTATCACTGTAGCTGTATCACCAGGAAAAGCAGGAGGAAAAAAAGAATGTTTATCCTTTATTGCTCTTTGTTGCCCTCCCCACCTTTATTAATCTAAATGAAACACCTAGTCCTCTGTTAACTGATGCACGTAGTCTCTGTTACTGGTCGAGCTCCTTGGCACATGAAGAAGTTGGCAGTGGTTCTTTCAGTTAGGTCAACCATATGCAAATGCATGAGGCTCAGTGTATGGTTTCCAAATGTTCATCCAGGCAGTTGTTCGTGATTGGGGAGTGGGGAGAATAGACAGCAAAACCCAAAAAGGGGGGTGGAATTCCAGAGGAGCTTGTGCTTATTGGAGCCAGAGTATGAACCAACTAACAAGCATCCAGTTCCTGCCATGCCTAGATCTGTTGGGAATATACAGATTGGAAGCTTGCTGTGTTTTCCAGCGTTCCTGAATTATTTAATGTCAATATCTTTTAGTTAATGAAGAGCAAAATACTTAATTAGTGGGGCACATCTAGTATGCAAACAATTTTTCTCTCAATGAACTAATTCAGTCTCCAAATGTGGCTCAACATACAACACCAATTATCTCTTTGGCATCCAGGGTTAGCTGAGATTCTCTCATAGAGACAGAATATAACAAAAGCCATCAAAGACGATATAGAGAATTCCTAATTATTGCATATAGGCAATCACTTCAGATTAAAGGCACGTTATGTTAGACTGAGGGCCATGCAGGTGACTTGCAAGAAAGTGGTGAAATCAAATGGATTATTAACATATAGCCCCCAAAACTGTATGCCATACTCTTGAAGGCCTGGCAAGTGACTGAGGGAAGTAGTAGTTGAACTGCAGTTATACAAGTCAGGTAGTCTTCATATGTCTCCTTGTTCTTGGCTAGCAAAGCAGCTCTGGGCACATCTTTCCATCACTGAGTTTCTCAGCCTTAAAACCACATTAGATGCATTTATTCTGGTAAAGTACTTTGAGAGCTATAAATGGATTTGGGTTATGACTAGGTTTTTCAAATCCGGCTCTAACTGGGTAAGTTGGCTCCACCACCTTTGTCCAAATAACAAAAAAATGGTTGGAATAAATCTTGAGTTCATGCGGCAAAACAGATCTTTTGCATTGTTTTTCTCTTAGTCACTAGGCTGCAGTCACACATGGGAATAATCAATCTTTAATTATCAGAGAAGTCTGACCTCCTTGAACTGAGTATAGGAACACAGTCTAGTTAAGCATCTCTTCCCGTCATGATAGTCCAAATGAGTGGCAAGCACTGACAAAATGATCTGCCGTGGGATAATCTGCCACAAATCACCAAATAGCATCTGAAGAGTTAAACAGCCTCTTGAGCTGTGATGCTTACGCAAGTATTGCCCTTGTTAATTCCTGATGTTTGCCTTTTTCAATATGGCACCAGTAGCATGCAGGAAGTGTTCCCTCGCATGGGTTTTGGAGCGAGGAGTTTTGGGGTTCTTCAGAACTCTGGTGCTTTGTATCGTACCTGACTGCTGTGAGTGAAATATCTAATTCATTGTTTCATTTCTGATGCCAATTCCATTATGCTATCAGTACAGGGAGCTGTTAGAGGCGGGCAGATGGAACTACACAGTAAAAAAATAAATAAATAAAAAATCAGTGTTGGCAGCATTCATAAAGAAGGGGGAGCAGTGGGGGAAGCTGGGATTGCTGTCATAAAAGCTGCAAAGTCAATAACACGGCATCTGGGCTTCAACAAAGGGGAAAAAACATCTTTGTACAATGGGCTGTGGTCCCTTCTGTCCTCCAGGGGTGAACGGAGTGTTTCTGTTGGCATCGCTTCATTTTCGGTGAGGTGCCAGGAGCTTGGCTGTGAAATATGTGAGGACCTTTTGCCAGAACCCAGGAGAACAGTTGGGTTTGGTACAAATAATCCATGTGAAGGACTTGAGGCAGTTTGCTGGAGCAGGGGATTTAGTTTGAGGGGTAGTGCAGTTAGGGGTAAAAAAGCACAAAGAACTCTTCCTGCAGGCCTGCTGCCCTTCTTACTGCCAAGGTCACGGCAATGGCATTTTTGCACTTGCTCTTTTAGCCTTCTGGTGCTAGAAAAGACAAGTCATTATTGTTACAGAAGCTTGGAAGCTCGGGTAGGTGCAGAGATGAGCGACTTTGTGGGTCATAAGTAATGCACAGTAATTAAGCTGATGGTCATGGAAGAAGTTCAGCATTACCTAACTGTCATATGATGCAAGGATCTGCATTGTGATAGTACCTTTTTTCTACACTGAGATGTAAATGTGAAGACAATTTGTTCTTACTTTAATTTCGAAACTTATACTACAGAACAGTGCCTAAAACCAAGCTTTTGTAACACCTGAGATCAGCAAAACTGACAGTGGGAAGTATTACAGTGGGAGCTATTTTAAAAGCAGCAGTCATCTACATAGAGCAATGCAGTCACCACGCTTCGCAGTGAAATCTGTAGGAAGGCATGGTCAAAAGATAATATGTAGTGTCTTAAATTGGAATTTTTGGACAAAGAAATGAGTAATTGGAAAACGCTTTTGTTTGGGGTCTTGAGAAAGCAATGCTAACCAGGCCCTCACTCTGCCCTTTTTCAGTCTTGGAAAGAAATTGATTTACCTGAAACTTAGAGGAGGCAAAAGCTCTGACTCACTTCATCCATGGTAGTTGGGGTCTCTGTAGGATACATGCTGCTCAGCTTAATATGGGAAAAAAAGGCCTTGCTTCACCAGTGACAGTTGTTTTGAGTAGACAACCCTAAAAAGACTCGTTTTTAGATAACAGTGCAGAGCTGCTGTGAGGGGACAGGTGGAGCTAGGGATGTTTTTGTACGCTCAGTCCTGTTGGACTCAGGTACTTTGGGCCATGTTCAGCCATTCCAAGGCAGGTTCCTGCAGCTCTTGCACATGGGAGTAGTCCCAGCTCACGAGAGCCTCTGTCAGGATATGAGCAGAGTTACTTTATGAGGAGCAGTTGGCTACGAGTATGGTCTGCATGTGACATGGTCATCTCCAAAAGCACCCGATTGTCCACTGAGCATGGTGAACACCAGTCACAGCCTGTGGTCAGACCTGTGACCAGCAAGAGCTGCAAAAATGTATGATACAGTAAATGAAATTATCTGACATATCAGTAGCTTTTAAAACAATGTCTGTTAATCTACTTGGTTTGCTGAACTTGCAAAACAGTAGCCATGTCTATACAGACAGGAGAAAGAAAAATAGATCACAAGTTAAATTGCAGTGTATCCTTAAGACAAGTGTATTAAAAATGACAGACATCAGTGTCTATAGTTAGGTCTTTGGTCTGGAAAACTGATGGTTGTAACTCAGTAGTTCAAGTTTTACCTAAGACTTCTGCTCATGTCTTCCAAACTTAGGTTGTAGAGATGATTACTCATGTTTTTGTTTTTTTTTTTCACTCCTCCTGGTCCTGCAGTTGCTGGCATCTTAGCAGACACTCGAGCAATGCACTCTTGGCCATCTAAGAAACTACTTGTGAGCTTATCCTTGACAGGAGGACTGTGCAAGGGCTGCTGCTATTCAATTGTGTCAGCAGTCACTTGAATTACTGATCAATGACATGATTTTTGCCTAGAGGTCTAGAAGTAATGACATTTGGCCTGCCTGCCAGTCTTGCCTGTCCTCAGCAGTGCTGTACCACATGTATTTTGAATCAGAGTTCTGCTCAGTCACCCAGGGATCTGACAACAGTTCACTGTTTCTTATTGCTTACAGCAGGAAGCCTGCATCTGAAATGGGAAATCAGATAAAATCATCTGCAAGAATAGATGAGATGGCAAGTGCAGTCTTTACTGCTACTTCTTTGTTTTGTTTCTGGTTGAGCATTTTTGTTCAGTCACTGAAATAGCAAGTCTCATGCAGCTGAGACCTAGCAGGTTCTCTAGCCTTTTGAAATGCCACCCAGAAATGATTAATTGGTGGAGGTCATGGCTGAAGGTGACAAATGCCTTGTGATGGACAAAAGAAAGCATGTGAACTGACCTAGTTTCAGTTCTGGCAGTGGGAGATAATTCTGCATGGTCCTTGGTCATTAGACCTAACTCTAGAAAATGAAGTTACCTATTCTGCCACCATCACTAATGAGTGTGGCTGTTGTCCAGCATTCAGAAAAGAGAATTAGAAGGCAAGTCAGCTTTAGAACTCAGCTTCTCATTGTGTAGAGGGGACATGAGGTCTCATCCCATAAGGATGAGACTTAGATTATGAGCTCTTTAAAACTTCAGGAGTCAGGTGAAATGTGATAAGACGTTGATGTTTTTCATAATTCATTAAATGACAGAAGCTTTAGTTTATGCTCACGTACCCTAAAGTATCATCAAGAAGATATGCAACAAATCATGAAATCAGCCCATTGAATCAGTTTGAGATTGCAATAAAATAGTCTTGCTTGAATTCTTGTGAAAGCACTGTCCTTGGTGGTGTGTCAGCTTTGTTAGCAGGAAATGCAGATGCTGATGCCTATCCTCACTGGTAAATACTTGGAAGATGTGGACCTCTTAGGCGATAATCACAGCACAAATAGTTGTGCATGGATCAAGTTTTATGTACAAGTATTTGGTGGAGTACAGAAACTACGAATTCACTGTACAAAGTCTTTCTATAACCAAGATGTGCATGTGATTTTCTTCAAGTGCAATCGGCACAGAGCCCTTAAGTGTAGGTCTGTTTTAGAAGTTCTTGTAGGAGTGTGTGTGTGTACACACATGTACCTAAACTGAATCACGAGTGTACGTGCATACAGAACAAAGGCACGATTACATCTGATCAGAGTAAATGAAGAGAAAGTAATAAAAGCATATCCCAGAAGGTGAAATTATTCTACTCTTTCACTCTGCACCAGGAAGTGGCTGCGAATGAGATTCAATCCTTTTGACGTTACCAGTTTTACAGCTGCAAAAGCCTTTGGTCTTGACGGCTGTTTAATTCAAACATATTTTTGAAGGTACTTGAGGACACCTTGAAACAATTATTAAATAAAATATTTCACCTGTGCTTAATGTAATTGTTAGATCTATTATCTTTCCTAAGTAGTTTAAGTCAAATTCAGGCTATTTTGATTCAATTTGAGATGGGATGAAATAAGACCTCTTAAATAGTGAGAATGTTTTTTCTCTGTTTCTTGTGAATTAGTGATTATTGCCATGTCCCTGGACCTGCCTTTCCTTTGCAGATCCTGTAGGTTCTACAGGCTTCTACCAGTTCCACACATAACATTGTGAAAGGTTCCTCCAAGACCAGCCACAGCTCCCATGTCTTCACTTCCTTATGGGAAAGGACAAGGGCATACCTTGCTTTTTGTGGCCTTTTCTGTCGGATGAGGTTCTTGAGCTGATAATGCAGGAAACTGTCAGATGTTGGGAAACAAGGTCGCCCAGCAGTTTCAAGTGGACATTTGTACACTTCTGCAAGAGGTACATATTTTGCTTCACTCCTGTTGGCTCTCACATAAGGCTTTATTGTTTTGCAGGATCACAGGGAAAATAATGGTCTCAACAGTAAGATAAAGGTCACCTTTTCCAACACAATAACTATACAGTGCTTTCTCTTCTACAGAACACGTTTCTTTCTGCTCCAGGCATAAATGTCTGATATGATTTATCCTTAAAATAAGCAACAGTACTCTAAGAAAACATTAGCTATTTCAGTCCACAGGGGGGGAAACAGAGGATTAGAGAAGATATTCTATGGTTTTAATTAAAAAGTAAAGAAACAGTACCATAGCAGTAGAAGAGGTGCTCCTGCTTGGTTATCCACTGACGCACTGGAAATCCGTGAGCCTTGCAAAATCTTGCTTCTTTCCCTGTGGTATATTTTAGCATATAGTATGGACTCTGAAAATGTTTTGCTGGGAGCTTCAGAGAAGGAAGATCTGATTCTGTGGATCTCAGTAAAAATTAATGAACCACCCTCTTAGGCTTCCACAGGATGAGGTAGAGGGGTGGGGGGATAAATTAGTGAAATTCTGCTGAATTAATTGAATGAGAAAGGCCATTCAGTGTTCATAGGCTCCGGGCCAGTGGAGCTCAGCCGCAGTGTGGGAAGGGCATATTTAGTCTTTCAGGGGGAGGGGAGCCAAAGGGAATGGGTGCAATAGCTCTGAGGCCAGCCAGTGTAGCAGAAAGAGCTGAGCTAAGAGATTGGCTGGGGCAGTCATGTTGCAAGCCTGGGAGCATGAGCAAGCAGGGGGAATGCTGGTCCGTGCTGAGCTTTTTGGTGTTGTTTCAATATACTGCATATGGTGTGTGCAAGCCTGTGGAAAAGAAGGGAAAGGAGTGAAAAGTCAAGCTCTAAGTTAAAAGAAGTGTAGATGATGATAACAAAGGGATTGGTTGGAGTCTTACATAATTCTTGAACATTGGCTCTTTTAATGCTGTTGCCATTGCTGTGCCGTCTCTTGGAGAGTGATGGTGCTAGCAGAGTGAGCTCGTGTATGTGTGAAAAGCTCTGTAGGTGGCACCTGTCTGGAACAGGTGCTTGGTGGCTTTTGGTTTTATACTGGCTCACCAGCAATGAGTTTAATCTTTATTTTTTCCTTTTTGTTATTCTAGAAAATACATCTCTGAGCAGACATACTTCAGGGGAGGTTCTCAGATCACAACTAGTGGAGCAGATGCGCTGAGAAGAGGCACTTTCAGTGGTGTGTGCGGCAGATTCAGCAGATCCAGCCTCCTATTTCCTGTTCTTCCAGTATCATCTGTTACTCATGACGGCATTTTGTATATTGTCCTTACACAACTGGCAGAGAGGTCAAAGTAAAGTGAAATGAATTGCATGAATGGTGCAAACTGTAATGCAAATTCTGAAAAATAATTATTTTTGGATGATGTTTTGACATGTTTTTTGAAGGTTACAGTTGTACTAGCTTCTACTCTGTTCATACCACAAGGTAACAGATATTGTGAATCTGAGGAGATGAGATACAGTGAGAAGTGTACAAAAACTTATTTTGTATGGCCAACTATGAAAATTATTGTTAATAAATTAAAAAAAAAAAAGGCTGATATCACAGCTGAGCCATCTCTCTATAAACCAAACAGAAAATCAAACTTTGACAAAAAGCCTGTGAGAAATTCTTTAAATCCCTTCCCCTTTTATCTCTGCTTCTTTGCCTGGAAACTGATTCATGCCTATTGGAGTTGAAATTCTGCTGTTCTGTCAGCTAGTCAGCATCTGAAGGGAGAGGTGAGATTTCAGAACTTTTTTGTTTTGTTTTGTTATGTGTTAATAAAAAAGACCATCATTTTTTATTTATTTAGAATTTTGCAGTGTGTCATGCACATCCTTCTTTGCAATATGTCTAAGTTTCTTGGGGGATTGGAGGTGAGTGTTTTTCTGTGATGATTAAATATCCCAAGTATGGGCAGATCCTCAGCTAACAAATCAATGTGCAGGTAGTTCCCAAGAGGTCAGAACAAATGGTCCAATGCTAATCTTACACTAGCTAAAACATGCAAGTCTTAGTTCTGGTAACGTTTGGAGATAGTAGCTATTAAAATTGACCTGCAATCCCCACTTGACAAAAACGGTGCCAGATTCTCTCCAAGACCCTGTCTATTTAAGGATTTCCACCCAAATAATTAGGATCAGATCACATTTTTGATAGCTGTGTGAAGAGCTGTGCAGGAACTTGAGGCTGGAATTTGTAGGAGCCAGAAGGTTATCAAAAAAGGTGTGTGTGATTTCAAAGCTTTGCCTGCCTTAGTTTTCAACTAAGTATTGGGACTACAGGGAGGAAGAGGAGGGTTTGATTATTTTTTTTAAGATTTTGAAAGATTATGCCTTTGTTATTTGTTGACTGGTGTAGCTTATCAAAGCTCTTAGTTATTTGCAGGATGTTCCACAAATCAAAGTCTGTTTTTGCTTTTGATTTAAAAAAAAAAAAAAAAAAAGGTTAAGAAAAGACCCCTGGTTGCTCCCTGAATGTCATCAGGTGGCTTGAGCTTATCTCAGTCATATGGGGATGTCTGCAGCGGGTCCTGCAGTGCCAGGGAGGGTCATTTTAGGAAACTATATGGTTTATGGGATGACGTTTCCATCACCAGGAAAAGATGCTGTACTGTCATGGTAAAGTATGTGGGGGGAGGGAAGCCGAGTAGTTGTTGTGCTGGAAAACTGCAACCTAGAAATTACTGTTGTGACTCATTAGATGATATCATTTGGAAACTGAGTAATTACATCCTATCCCCCCCTTGTATTTGACTTGGGGTGATGTACTGGAGCACTGGTGTGTCTGACAGCTAGGTGACCTTTCAGTGAAGCGTCTGGCTGCATCAAGGATGGTTCCATGGTGTAGAAGAGCATGAATTCGTTGTGTACCAGAATTATGCTGGAGGTCCCGATACCTTTGTTTTGGTTCCCCTGTGTGTTGCTAAATGAGCTCTTGAAACAAAGCCAGAAGAGGAAAAGCGGAGAGAAGTGTATTTTTTGTTGATTAATACACATGCCCTGCGTTGTGTTGTGTAACAGGAAGGACTGAGGACAGGTTTGTTTTTATTGCAGCTATCTGCACATCTTTGTGCTTGATACAGCCACAGACCTTCAGACCTGTGCCCACAAGAGAGTGGTGTTGAGCCATCCATTTGCATACCAGGTACAAGGATTGAATTTACAGGGTTTTTTATACGTAAAGTACAATTTGACCAGTTCGGATTCCCAAATAAAATGTGACTTTTCAATCAAATACGCTTTATGCTGATTTGCAGTAATATACATATTTTGAAATTCAGCTGTTTTAGAATATAAAGGAACTGTAAATGCACCAGCTGTTGTTTCTGTCATATTATTTCTACTGTATGTGTCCACGTGGTTTTTTACTTATTACTGGAAGAAAATAAACCATTTTGAACCTGCTTACAGCCAGGGCTGGTCATTCAGTGTGGATGTGCCCCTCCAAGGTTTCCTAGGTTGTTTGGGGTTGTAGTCTGCCTGGTGGTGCTGACAGGGCTCTGAGTGTAAGTCCTCTTGGCTGTGACTTGGGGTTACAGCTAGTCAGGCAGGAAGGGAGGGCTCTAATTTCTGTGCTGGATGATGCACGTTAAGGCTCTGAGCTGGTGAAGTGGCTCTCATTCAGAATATTTGTATGTAAGCACTTGAGACTTTGGAAAGATCACAACCTGTAGCAGCTCATGCTGAAAAAATTGGCCTTCCCTATTGGAAGTAAGTGCTGACAGTGGTTATCGTTGATGTGTTTGAATATGTACGTTATTAGCACGTGTTCATTTTTGTTCTCTGTACTGGCTCACATTACTACTTGACTTGCTCTTTCCATTTCACCTCAAACTAATGAAAACTGAAATGTCTCCTGAAAGCTCATTGTTTACTGAAATTTGTATACTCCAAAAAAAACCCCTAACTTTTAGCACTGCTTTCTTGAATTTAAAAGCTACATTTATCTGTCTGAAATGGGTAGTGTCCTGTGCCTGTCTAAGTTTGCAAGCAACTCTTAAGTTGGAGCATAATAATAAATGCATATGAGCTGACAATATTTCTTACTTGAGCTATCTCTGGAGAACTGTCAGGAAAAATATCAACAAAAGATCACTATGATAGGGGCATATCACTAAAAAAGAAAATCAGAGGAAAAAAAAAATCCTCCTGTGCTCTTTTTAGCTGGTTATTTCATCTTCCTTTTGGGGGAAAAAAAAAAAAAAAAAAAAGTCAAGCCGGAGGCATAGAGACTAGGTGCTTTCAAAGTTGATCTTATGTGCTAGTCAAGGAGTCTGACATCATTGCTTTGTTTTTCCTTACTGGAAAAGAAAAAAAAAAAAAAAAAGGTAAGCTGGGAGCAGGTGGGATTCCTTGGGCTCGTCCCTGCAGATGTTGCAGCCCTGATGGCTGTTGAGCATGGCGTGGGTGAGCTGACCTGTGCCCTGTGTGCATAAGGCAAAGAACTAGCCTGATGGTTTTCAGGGATCTCATTTGTGTTGATTGGTTCTTTTTTTTTTTTTTTTTTTTTTCTTGTGTTGTACTTCTCTATTTCATTATCAGTTTTGAATAAAAGCTGTAGTGTCTGGATTTGTGTGTGTGGTTTTCCTGATAGAGGGGAGAACGGAGTCGGGGCTCTGCCACCTAGATGTGCTGGCGGTGTGCGGGAAGAGGCTTGGAAATACTCAGCTGAAGCTGCCCGTATGTGGCTGCTAAATTGGGTTTGGTCCTTTGAGGCGTGATGCACTCGGTGTATTAGAGACTCAAACCCTGTCGCCTCGGAGCTGCTGTGCTGGGCTGTGTCATGTTTGACCACATAGCCTACGCAAGCTGAAATTAAAAGTTTAAAAAAGAGGGAGAGAAATAAACACTGCTCCCAGCCTGGGAACATTTGACTCCCGTTGGGGAGGAGCTATTTTAAAGCGCAGACGGAGAGATGGCTATTTTTGCCCCTCAGCCAGACTGACTCAACTAATGCCCTATACTGTCCAAAGTGTCACGTTGACCAAATTCTTAAAAAGTAGACTAAAACAGGACAGGAAGGGTCCTTCAACCAGCATGAGGCAGACGCAGAGCTAAGCTGGAAGTACCTGATCTGCACGGGATCCCCTCGGGGTGAGGTGTGCTGCCTTGTGCTTTGCCTTGCTGCCTTATTCAGGCATGGGCTTGCATTAACAAGGAGGAGTGGAGGTGGAGGACAGTGTGGGTAGCGTGAGTGCCCTTCCACCGCAAGCACACAAGATGGGCAACGTCCGTGTGTAGCTCAAGTTCCTGGTAGTTCCTGGTTTCAAACACGTTTTGTGTTAGGAGCAAATGCTGCTTTCCTCTGATGGAGGTGAAGAAGGATCCCAAAATGTTGAAGAGCCATACTACACTGAACTCCTGCAGCCCAGTGAAGAGGTGGCGGCTTTGGGCATGGGCAAGACGTGAGCCTGGGCTGGGTGGCCACACGCACAAGGCCATGGATTGGGGGTGAGGGTGGGTTGAGGTTCCCCAGGCCTGGTGGGGGGGTTGAGGCCGCTTCCGTCCAGCAGACCACGCAGCGCACGGTGTCACTACCTGGGCACCACCAGAAACCCTCAGGGCAGCACTTGCCAAGCACATCAGTCCCAAAGTTAGTCAAAAAAAAAAAAAAAAAGAGCTGAAGGGAATCTTTGTGTACCTGCATGGATCTCTCTGCACAGAGGTGTGAGCTGGGAGCCTGAGGGAAATGCTTAGTACTCAGTTCTCACATGGCCTTTTTTTTTTTTTTTTTTTTTTTTTCCCTAAAGTAAATGTAAAAGTGCTTCTGGTTGCATTTTGAGTCACTGCGGGCTTTCTCGTGTCCTCCTGACACTCAAAACTCAGTATTCACACCATTTTTTAGGAGCTTGAGGGTGAACAAGAACCACTTCCTGGCTCTGGGCACCAGCACCTTCTGCTGCTCGCCCCCTGGGCCGCATCCTGCTCCTCCAGGCTCTCGCTGGGCTGCAGCGATGCTTCCTGTCCGGCTGCGCTGGGCAGAGGTAAATATAGCCAGAGGGAGGCATAATTACAGCAGAGGAAGGCGAGGAAGCGTGGCTGCCCTCCAGGTACCCGCGTCACGGGGAGCAGCAATGGTACGTGACTGGGATTTGGGGCACCTCACCCCAAATCATGACCCGATGCGGCCCTGGCTCCTTCCCCCGGGGGATTTGCTGCTTGATGCCTGATTTGGGGTCCAGTCCCCTTCTCAAGCAGGGATGTGAGGTGGCGCCGGGTCTTCAGGGGCTGAGTTAAATACGGGCTGGACACGAGGAGCAAAACAACACGTCGTAATTGTTCGAGGTGCCTAAAATAAGGCCGGTGATGCGCGCTCGCATCTGGCGGGGGCCAGGGATATAATTTGGTCACTGGTCAAGAGGAAAACACGTCCCACGGTATCTGCGAGGGGAATCGGCTGAGGAGGAGGGGAACGTTGACAGGAGGGGCGCAAATTTAGCAAGGAAAACAGAGCGCAGGCCTGTCAGCTCATTAACAGCCAGCCCTGCCGCTCGCTCCCCCCCCCCAGCACCACCACCAGGAGCTGTTTTTGGGGCCGGCGTCCCGGTGGAGGAAGCGTGGGAGGCCGCTTCCCGCCGACACCTCCGCACCCGGCCCTGGTGCCATTGGCTGCTGGCAGCCCAGGACAGCGGTTAAATGCCGGGGCAGCGGCGTGGGGCCGGCAGCACACGCGCTGCACGCTACCGCACGCGTCCCTGCCTCGGCTGCGTCGCACCGGCAGCGGGATGAAGGCTGAGCTGCTGGCACTGCTGATGCTGTGGGCTGCGGCCTGCGCCCACCCTGTGAGTACCCCCCTGCGCAGCCCTCGAGCCCCCAAACCCTGCTGTTTCTGCCCCCAGACTGATGTGAGGTGTTTTCTTGGTGTTTAGGTGCACAACCGCATCTCTGTGCCCCTGGAGCCTGAGGTAAGGTGCCCGCGTCCCGTGGCATTGGGATGTTCCCCGTGGGGAGTGATGCTGTGGGTCTGGGAGCTTTGCCCCGTTGGTTTAGGTTTTTTAAGCTGGAGGGGTTTCAGCTCAGGTGGCTTTCTCTCTCTGTGCATGCTTTCTATTAACTTTTTTTTTCTAAAAAAAAATGAGAGTTTCTGTGCTCTAAACTATTGCGGTTACCCTGAGCTCAAAGTCTTATTCATATACCCGTGCATGACAACCTGTCCCATCTCTGCGGGATGATAAGACACCTAACACATAAGGTGACAGTCTCATGTAATGCCTGGCCCCAGCTAAGAAGGGCTGGGTGTTTTTCTCCCACCCGCGGCAGCAGAGGGGATGAGGTGGGAAGCGCTGTGGGTCCACAGAGGCTTGCATGGCTCAGGAGGCAGCGATGCTCAGGCAACTGACATGCTGTTATTACCTGCAGGACACGGTGCCGGGGGACGAGGTGAAGGCACTGGGACCCCTCCTGGGCGGTGGAAACCTCGGTCACCTTCGTGCCAGTGTGGGGCCAGGGGATGGCAGTGACAGGGACCTCGCTGTTGGGAACCACATAGAGCAGGACTTTGCCGAGCATGACAGGCTGCCTGCCTGGCCCGGGGACGAGGAGGACGACAGCGGGGACGACACTTTGGATGGTGAGGAGGGCGAAGGGCCCAGCTATGGCACTGGGGATGCTGGAGGACATGGTGACAGCAGCAGCAGCAGCAGCAGTGAGAGTGCAATGGCCCAGCACCGCTACAGCAGGTACCGTGGCAGCTTCAGGCGGGGAGGGGGCAGCAGCAGCAGCCAGGAGGATGAGGAGGAGAGCGCTGGCTTGGGCGGTGAAGGCATGCAGGGCGACGATGCCTCAGTTTTTGACAATCTGGGCGGAGGGCGACGCGTCCGGGGGGCCTCTGTTGGCCCCCAGGAGGACAGGGACAGCCGGTCCCCGGAGGCCGAGGACACTGACTCCACGGAGGACAGCCCCTCAGCCGAGGAGAAGAGCAACTCACAGGAGGACAGCCAGGCCAGCAGGTCTGGGGAGGACGAGGACAGCCATGAGGAGGACAAGGACAGCCCCTCCAGGGAGGCCTCAGATGAGGAGGCCTCAGATGAGGAGGCCAAGGAGTCCACGGAGTCCGCAGAGGATGGCTCAGAGGAGGCAGTGAGTGCTCCAGAGGGGCGCAGCGGCAGCAGGGAGGAGCGGGCGTCCCCTGAGGACAGGAGTGCACCGTCTGACCTCGACAGTGAGGAAGAGCAGAGCAAGTCCAGGGAGGAGGAGGAGGAGGAGGAGAGTAAGTCCACAGAGGACAGCGTGGAGTCAGAGGAGGATGGGAACAACTCCAAACCTGACGAGGATGCTCCAAGCGCATCGACTGAGAGCCGCAGCGCATCCCCAGAGGGCAGCGATGAGGACGACGAGGATGAAGACAACACAACGGGCGAGGACAGTACCTCCACAGAGAGCACCAACAGTGCGTCCCCAGAGGACGGGGATGATGAGCAGAGCCGCTCCCAGGAGGACGCCAGCTTGCCGCGCAGCCTGGGCAGTGAGAGCCGCAAGCGGCGGCTGGACGCCTACCGCAGGAAGCCAGCCACCGACTACGATGATAACGACTGCCAGGATGGGTACTGACAGCGGCACATAACTCACTGGTTGTGTGGACGGGTCGGCTTCCTCCGGGGAAGATGCTATGGACAAAATGGGTGAGGGCTGGCCATGTGGGGCAGCCACTTGTGAGGGGATGCTGGACACGGGTAAAACCCAAGTTCTGCATCGCAAGCGGATGCGTCCCGGCACTCTCCCTAAAACTGCCCACCTGTGCTGCACGGGGAGCCGTGTGTGGAGCGTGTCACACCACGTTGGGGTGGGGTGTATGTAATATTTTGTAAGAAATGTACAGAAAGCATTCTATTGTATCCTTTTCATGTCAGTGGCACTTACCTTTTTGAAACTGAAATGTATCCTGTGTACATCTTCATCAACATTAAAAACCACCAGACCCCACTGCTGTTGGCTTTGCTGCTTTTCTTTCCCAGAAGGCTGGGGGGGCGGGGGGAGAAGGAGTTGCTGGGTAAGAAGGGGTTAACTCAAACCAGGCTCTGCCCCCAGTTGGGTGCGATTTGGGGTAGAAAAGCAGGAAATGGACTGGGCGGTAGGAAGGTCGGGGCTGTGCTGTGAGGTGGGCTGGTTGGTTTGGGGTGCCTTTTTGCCATTTTGGGCACAAATCTGAGCTGCAGAGGGGTGCCGGGCGGGTGCCTCATGGGCCAGGCTGCGAGGTTATCACATGCAGTGGGAAGAGGAGCTGCTTTGTGTTATTGCAGCTGCAGAGAGCGGGTTTCTGGAGGAAGAGCTGAGCCTGGAGAGGAGAGGAGGCACCACCTGCTGCTGCCAGCCGAAACCCGGTGCTGTGCCATCAAGCACAAGGCAGCACACGAGGTTTGTCACGGCGCGCAGCACCCCTCACAGCGCACACACCCCCAGAGCCGTCCTTTGCAAAAATAAAACAAACACCTGAGCTGGAAAGGGCATGCTGTACGCAGTCAGGTGCTTGGCTGCGAGCGTCGAAGCCCATCTGTACGAGGTGCACGGTGACTGATCGGTGTGGGTTTTGGCACTGTCCTCCTGACGTAGCTGCTCAGCCACGCACCGCGCACGTTGCAGCCCTGCACTGCTGCTGCTGGTGTGGGCAGCATCCAACAGGTTTGGGTTTGCGACAGCTCCGTGATTGCCTTTCAGGGACCTGCCCTGTTTCCGTGTCCCTGCGTTTCGGGAGCATGCGTTGCAGCCCCAGTCGTTGCCTGCTTTTAGCTGGGTGCGTAAATAGCATTAATGCCTTTGATGTGGTTTCATGCCTCAGAGAAAATGGGAAATTATATGAAACGTGTGTTTGCGGTGGGCTGATGCAAGCATTTGGGTGCTAATGCCTTAGCCAGATACCTGAAGAGTTTTAGGTTCTCTCCCCTCCTGCTTTAACTCTAAAATTGACAGCTTGCTGAAAAAACAGCCAGTCCTGTACCCGGCCGATGGGCTTTGGATCTGGGGGCACATGCCGCCCTTCTCCCCGCCACCTCCTGTGTAGAGCGAGCTTCTGCCTGTGTTTGCTTTACTTATTTTTGGTGCTGAGGTTTCCTGCCAGAATAGCTGCAGGGCGAGGAGATGGGACGGCACCGCCTTGCCGCGCTGCAAAAATACCAATTACAGGCGGGAACGTGCCGCTTGGCACCAGGACGGGGCGTCCCGGTGCGAGCCCCAGGGCGCGTGCCCTGTGGGGCAGAGCTCAGGGGTGCCTTCCCCATCCTCCTCCTCGTCCTTCTCCTCCTCCTTGGGGCTCCGGGGGGGTCCGGTCTCCCAGCCCCATGTTCGTCATTGCCTGCAGTAATGAGCCCATTGTGGAGCCCCGGGTGTTGGCTTGCAGCACAGCGAGCCCCACGTGCGCCGTCGCGGGTGGCATCAGGGGACGTGGGGACACCGGGGCTGGCTGGTGCCGGCTCTGCCCTGCCAGCTAAAGATAGGTGTGTGGGCACACGGTCATTATCCCCCGGCTTTTTTCGGGATTTTGGGTGAAATCAGCACTTTTAGAGTCAAAGTTCTTTTTTTAAAAGGCAGCGTCCCTCTAATTACATTACGGGTCGCCTCCTGCAGCCCAGCTCTGATTAAATTTAAACTCCAACCTGGGCAAGCTCTGCCTGTCCCCATCCCCACCTAGCCCTGTTTTTTTTTTTTTTCCCTCTTTAACAGAGAGCGCTGCAACGGCTTTGGAAAAAATGTATTGTTTATATATTGTTGTTATATATATACTTTTTTTTTGCGGGTTTTCCTGGCCCGAGGCGCCGGCCGAAAGCTGTGGCCAGCCCTGCTGCTCCCTTGTAATTATGGCTGCAGCAACACCGTGGGCTTTGAAGCCCGCTGGGCACATGCAGCTCTGCCCCACAGGCACATGCTTGCCACCGGGGCCACCGGTCCCCTGGGTGGCCATGAGGGACCTCTCTGTCCCCTCAGATGTGGGAACGGTGGGAGCCTTTCCCCTACATCTCTGTGCTGATGTGGGGATGAAGGCAAGGACAGAAAAACAATGCCTGGGGACAAGCTGACGGGAAGCGTTTCGCCTCCAGCCCCATCCCACCTCACACGGGAGCAGGCGCTATGCTTTTTATTACACCTCTGTCCCAGGCAGTGAGTTCACCGGGGCTTCTCCAGGCAGCCCCATCCGTCAGGACTCAGCATTTTTTTGGTCCATGGTTTCACCCAAGGGACTGTGGAAGCTGGGCCTCGGAGATCGCCATTTATTTATTTTTTCTGGTTGTTTTACAGAAAAAACAGCAGCAGAGTTTCCCAAAGAGGGAGGCAGCAGTAGAAAAAAAAAAAAAAAACAAAAAAAACAACCCCGAAACCAGATTTCCCAATATTTATTTTAACCGAGGCCCAGGACATTATTATACCCTCCAGCCATGGCCAGACCCTCAATTAAGTGCCGCGGCACATCCCTCCTGGCATCAGCACGGGGCTGGCCATTGGCTTGAAGAGATTTGGGGGTTTTCTGGGCGGGCAGGGACAGGGCAGGGCGGCGACTGTCTGGGGGGGGGAAGGGGGGGCCCGCGGCCGCCTTATATCCCACAGGGCAGCGGCTGTGGGAAATCAGTGCCGGCCGACTCGCTGGGAGCCCCGGGTGCTGCAGAGCGTGAGTTTTTTTCTATTTGGGGTCGCAGGGATTTAATGTGCTTTGTGGGGCTGAGAGAGGGGGCATGGGGTGTTTTCAGCCCTTGTATGGCTGTATGGGATGGGTTATGGGGATAAGGGCCGGCTGCCTTCCACCCAGGATGGTAGCAGCATCCTGCTGGCGATGGTGGGGATGCAGGGTAGGGACCGGCACCGCTGTTGCCATTCACAAGGACACGGCTCCTCCGAGAAGTACCCCATGTTTTTAGGAAGGGTTTTGCTGGGCACGGGAAGTGCAGATGCCAATGTCCCCTCTGCCTTTTGGGGCATAGCTGTGGTGTTCCCCAGGCACGCCACCAGCCTCTGCCTCTTCCCGCTGCTCCTGCCACCATGAGGACAGCGCTGCTGCTCGCCTGCCTCCTGGCCATGGCCTCTGCCTTCTCGGTGAGTTTGGGGACCGTGGGGGGACCCCAATCTGCCCCACCCCCGTGCTGGCACCAACACAGCCTTTCCCCTAGGTGAAGAGCTGGCTGCGGCGAGTGGGGGGGGACGACTCGGAGGAAAACGCGGTAGGGTGGCGCCCCGGTGGTGCCAGCGTCAGCGGGGTCGCTGCATCCCTCCCCGAGTGATGGGGGTCCGCAGCGGGGGCTGTCCCCAGGCTGTAGGGCCGATCCCCTCCGTCCTTTCCCCTGCAGGTGTTCAAGAACCGGCGCCGGTACTACCTGTACCGCTACGCCTACCTGCCGCAGCAACGCTACCAGGTGGGTCCAATGGGGGCTTCACGGGCGTCTCAGCCCCACACCTGAGGGTTTTGCCCCAAAAATGGCCCCGCACATCCACACCAGCACCTGCAGGGTGGGGCTCATCACACTGCTGGGACCCAGCAGCACGTTCTTCCTCTCCATAGGGCAGCGACTCCTCGGAGGAAGAGGGGGACGGCTCGGAGGAAGAGGAGGAGGGGGAAGGTGGGGTGAGTACTGGCCATAGGGGGAGAAGAAAAAAAACACAGATATTTGAGGGGCTCACACCCACACATTGTTGGATTTGGGGGTTGGGAGGAAGAAAAATGCAACTGACACCGTGTCCCCTCCTGTCCCCACAGGTACCGTCCCACCCAGGAACCCAGGTGGCAGGCGAGGGGGTGGCCCCTGGGGATGGTGGGCTGGGAGGGGACGCGGCATCCCCCCAAAAGGTGAGTTCAGGGGGCGGGGGGATCAGTGTCTGGCCTGCAAAGTTGGGCCCCCCGAAATGCACAGCTGATGCTGGGTTATTCCTGTGTGCTGCAGGGCTGTAAGGGGGCCCCGAAGGGCAAGGGTGGGGATGAAGACAGCGATGAGGAGGAAGAGGAGGAGGAGGAGGAAGAGGAAGAGGTAGAGGAGCAGGAGAGCAGCGTCAACGGGACGAGCACCAACACCACGGCGGGGACGGAGGGGCCCCATGGCAACGGCACCGCGGCAGCCGAGGAGGAGGAGGAGGAAGATGAGGAGGAGGAAGAGGAAGAGGAGGAAGAGGAGGAACCTGAAGCAACCACTGTGGCTGCCACCACCGGGCTGGACGAGGCGACCACGGCGGGCGACGGGGAGCACACCGAGGCCACCACGGCCGGGGAGCAGTGGGAGTACGTGGTGACGGCCGGCAGCCGTGGGGATGAGGGCCCCACTGAGGGCAGCTACGGGGACCACGAGGGTTACGCACGTGGGGACAGCTACCGGGCGTACGAGGACGAGTATGGCTACTACAAGGGGCACGGCTACGACGTCTACGGCCAGGATTACTACTACAGCCAGTGAGCGCAGGAGCGCTCGGGATGGCGCCGCAGCCGCCTCCCATTCTCTGTGTATCTTGCCAACCCCAATGCAATAAAGCAACTGAATGGAGCTGGCTCGCGAGGCGTGGTTTGCTTCTGGATGAGCGTTTGGGGTCAGCAGGAGCGGCTGAAGCCCTGGGGGGTGGATGCCAGCATCGGGTCCAAGGGTCCCCGCGTGGCTCTGGTGTTCCCACGGCAGGGCTGGCCGGGCGCCAGGCTGCGAGCCGCGCTAATTATCGGGCAATTGCGGCCCCCGGGGACAGATATTTATACACCGTGCTTTCTGTTTGCGCGGCCAGGTGGAACATTTGATAGCTGCCTGCCACCACAGGCTCATTTTTAGATGGAAATTACTCCCCCCCTCCCCAGCCCAGCATCTGCGGGCGCTCCCAGCCCTGACAAATGGCCCTGGGCAGGAGCTGATTGGCTCCGGGCCCCCCCTGGGCAACTTTAAATTTCAGCCAAGGGCACAGAGCCCCCAGCATCGCCTGCGGGGACCAGCCTCTGAGGAGCACAGGTAACCCCCCTGCCCTGCTGCCCC